TTGTCTACCAAACCAAACTAAATCAAATAGTTTGCTTTTTACCAAACAGCTGCCACCTTTTCTTTTTAAGATCTTTTCAGTCACTAAAAGCTAACAGTTATTAAAAATCTCACAAAAGTATATTTTCAACTAGTTGTGCCAAACATACCCTTAATTGTTCGCTAAGAGATTAGTAGCGATTCAGGGGCTGTAAGCTCGCTCGTCTTGGCAATAATTTAGGATCAAGTCGCTGTGTCGCATGAGAAATCAGTCTGGTCCCCTAAATTATTGTACTCTACACCGCGAGAGTGGTAAGAACTTAGTAATGATTAGCTAGGCTCAATTAAATTAATTTCATGTAATTAGGCCTGATCTGCCAGAAATCTGGTTACCTCGGAATCAATCTCTGTTCCCTTCGTCGTTAATTGAGAAGAAAACCATCTTTTTATTTAATCGTTCATTCACATTAGTTTAATTTTCCAAACAATCAATCTTGCACATCGCATTTATTTTATTTATTTCTTTTAAATCGCTGAATTTAGTTAATCTTTAATTCACATCATGTATCTTCATAATTTGTTGATGATGTTGTTGTTGAATAGATTTCAAAGTGACAAAGTTTCTCTTGGATAGATTTTCAAATATTTTTTAATATGCCAAATCACTATTCACCTATGAAACAGTAAACACAAAATTATGTTTATTAAGGCATATGAATACCAGCAAAATTAAAGAGCGGGGTATAGGTACCTGTTAAGATACACTTTGTGGCGGCGTTTTGGTATGTGGCTTAGAGTATGAAGGATTTTGATCCTGAGCCTTAAGCATAAGGGCTAAGGAATGGCAGAGAACAGAATAGGTAAAAAGCATGACGAGTTTGATGATTTTGAACATGCATGTCTATGATTGTCTTGGATGAAGAAGATGAATTGAAGTGTTAATGATACGTCCCCCACCTGAACCACTACCATGGAGTGAACTAGTGACTAGGGTTTGGAAGACGAAGTTTCAAATTGATAATTGGCCACTTTCATTTATTTGTTTTTTTTAAGTTTTATTATTTTTCATTAGACTGTTTACCTTGTTTTTGGTTTGTTTGTGTTCGTGACAGTCTTGAGATCATGAGATGTCTAATTTATATATGATTGGTGATTTTGGGACTTCTAAGGCCTTTGATTCCTTTGAAGCTATCATATGTTCAATGAAAGTTTGGCTCAGTGCATGTTGGGTGAACTTTTCTATACTTGGTTAGGGATTGAAGGGACTCTTTGGATATTATGAGTCTAGTGAAGTGATAAAGCTAGAGTACAGTGGCCATAAAGGTTGGTAAGGACTCTATGTTACTCACTTGGTGGTCAGTGATTCACGTTGTTTCTTTGGTGGTGGACGTCTCCGAGTATGGTCATAGGATTTTTCTTGAGCTTGGATGTTGGAAGATAAATGATCTATTTGGAGCTATTAGATGGTTGTATCTCTTGGTTCCATTGGTATTTTAATAGAGTTTTTCTTTTCCTTTAAAAAATATAAAATTTATAAATTTTGTAAAAATATTATTTGTATTAGTTAAGATGATTAATCAAATTAAAGTATACTGTCACTAACTAAAAATTTAAGAATGTCTACCTCAAAATGGAAGGAGGTCATACTTAGAGTCCGTTTGGTAACAATAAAATTAGTTGAATGAATTGAGTTTGTTGACATTTATAATGTTCTGGCTGGAGCGGCTGAATTAGCTGAATCTGTTGAATTGTATATAGAAAAATATGTTTAAATATATTTGATTAATAAAATAAAGAAAAATTATACTTCCTCCATATTTTAAAGTTTACCTCACTTTCCTATTTAAGACATATTTGAAAATTTGCCCCCTTCCGTGTTTTTGATAAGTCTTTTCTTTAAAAATATTCAATTACCTTTACATATTCTAATTTTTATCCTCTCTTTTATACTTTTCTCTCATTTTTCTACACTATTCATTACTTCTACTATTTTTTCCTTAAATATTGTGTCAAAGCCTAATGCTATGATCTGTTACACACAGAGGAGGGAGTATGAAATATAACAAGAATTATCTTGTACAGTAATTTAAGCCAGAAAAGTATACTAACCTTACTTACATTGATATTATACCATTCAACACACAAAGTTAAAAATTACTTACTATGTATCCAGTAAATTAAAAATTGGTTAACAGCTAGGACTGGTATGCAGAAAAGATAAGTCACCAAACGGACCTTAATTGGAAGGAGTCTCACACTTTCACCTAACCCATAATTTAATTTTTTGATTGTGAAGGGTTGGAATGTTGGATTGGGTCAAGCGTTCCCGCCACCGCTTACTTCTTTGTCGATCAGTGCAAATAAACCAAATTAAATACGGACAATCAATTGAGCTCCCAATGACCTTCACTTCGGAAGTTGAATAGTTGATATTTGGTTGACTATGTTTACAGTTATTGACTTTTTATTCTAATTACTTAAGAGGAAAGAGTGAATTGAATACATCAACTTATATAAGGTGGAGTAAAAAGTACATTATATTGCATCTGATATTTTTAAGTACACAAACTTGAGTTTTTAGTGTTAATAGAGTACACTCGTTAGATTAAAACATTAATATGCTTGAGTTGGCTAATGGAACGCTAATAGGTTGATTTCTTAAAGATCGACGCTAGCCCCCAATCCCCTGATCGACTTCTCCACAAGTTGATTTCCCCTAGGTCGATGCACCTCTATTGGTCGACGCTCCCGTAGGTTAACATCTGTATCTATTAGGTCCACTATTAGGATGTTTTCTTTTGGACTAAAATTTGCTGGTCTGGTCTGGTCTGGTATGAACTAGTTTGGTCTGCTCTGTTCTGGTAAACATCTGGTCTCTGTGTATTTTATAACTACGGAAGTCTGGTCTGGTCTGGTCTGATCTGGTCTGGTCTATGACTGAAAACAGTTCAAAAGAAAATATCCTTAGCGTATGGTCAGTAAAGAAAAGTTAAAAACATTACTTAAATATATTTACTTGATGCCAATAGTGACGGATCTTGCCAACAAATGTTGGATATTCAAAACTACTTTACCATTAAAATGTTATATACGTAGTATAAAGTAATATTGTTTGATCCAGCAATTGAAAAATATAATTTTGTAAACAATAAAAACCTAACATAAATGGTTAAACGTAAAAAATATTATATACAAGTACAATATATAAATTATTATATCAATTCTATACATGTATTTTTGGATTTTATTTTCAAAATTTTGGGTGTTCACATGAACACTCTTGAACCAAGAGCTTCCGCCATTGCTTGATGATGTGCATTTAACAAGTATTTTTTGAGAGTAAAATTCATTAGCATTAGTCAAACAATTGCTCACCACTTGGCTACAAATAAGACCAGGAATGACATCATAAATAACTCTATCGTCCACATGTGAAAGAACAACTCTAACCAAAGTGTGAACTACACGATTCATAGAACATGAATAATATTTGACAGAAAAACTAGCTCCAACTTGAACAATGTGTTTAATATTCTGTATGATGATATCGATCAAGATATGAATCTCCAACCTCTTCAGACAGCCTTGAAGAAACGATCAAAGCACATGATTCCACTTCAATTCCACCCTTTCTCAACCTTGTTCTCTTGCCCAATTTAACACTTTCCTAACTCCAATAGCCTCCGTCATGATAGCCGACCAATCCATATTTATTTTAATCATGCCTACGCTCGGTTTAACCCATTCGATGTACCCTCCCCCATATTAGGACTAGATCTAGATTTTGCTTGAGTTGCTCGTCATCCTTGTAAAACCGCAGTCCCTATATTAATCGCTTGACTAGCAATAAACTCGGAATTCTTCCGGATAAAGTCATTATGGGCCTTCCAAATACTCCAAAGTAAGGTAATAAAAATATGCACTCAATCCTCAAAAGCCAGAACCGGATACTGCACTTGACATCTTGCGAGGCGCCACACCTCACTTGTTGCCCTGCACTCTTTAATTAAATGTAAACTCAGTTCCACTTCATCGTTGCACAGCCGGCAACTCCCAAGTATGTCCACCATATTTTTGGTCCAACTCAACCAATTGTTCCGCACAAATTCACCCACAATAGCCCGATACTCGCTCTTCACCGTGTTTTTCCCTCTAGAGTCCATACTCCACCAGAAACTGTCGTTCAGAACCCTTCGACTCAGTGGAATGCTCAAAATAGTTGCTCCTTCTTCGGGTGAAAACAAATTCAATTCCTACTTCGAGTTAAATCCCAACCGGACCTGTCTTCCTTGATAAGAGCTGCGACATTCATGTCATAAATACCAGTCAACTACGTCTTAACATATTAGAAATGATTAATCAAATGTTTAACAAGAAAGTTCATGTCGGATCGTATATACTATTAAGACTTGGAGTTCCATCGTAAAAGGTCAACCTGATAGAAGGAGGAGCCCAAAACTTTATATGTTGGTTTGTATTTCTATACCCAATCGGTGTGTTACAGCTTAATATGCCCCTGCAAGATGGTGGCTCGTTGGAGCGGACCAAACTTGTAGTCCGTGTGCTCGTTGTTGAGGCTTACCAGAATCTAATTACTCATTGGAGCTTAATTGGCTCTGAAACTATAGTAAGACTTGAGGTTCCATCATAAAAGGTCAACCTGATAGGATGATGAGCCGAAGACTTTATATGTTGATTTGTATTTCTATACGCAATCAGTGTGAGACATCTTAATATATACTTCGTATTACTTAAATTGAGTAATCAAAGTTTAAATAATTCTAAAGTAAATTATATAAGTCAACTAATTAAGTCTTAACATGTTAGAAAACGGAAGCTGAAAGTCAAGGAAGAATCTAAAGTTATTATCGTTTAAACTCCGTATAATAAAATTCGTCTCACGGCCGGAGTATATTGACTAAATATCTATTCTGTCTGAATGTCTTGATTATTATTTTTTTTTTTGAAAATTTCAATTATCAATATATATGAAGCAGAAAGGTTAACTACGTGTACGTACTACTACTACATTTTCCCACTATATAATAATCTATGCACTTAGAAATATTATTGTAATTATCATCGATCTTCATCATCCTCATCAAAATTCTTACGTAGTAGTACGCAAGATATATATATATACTACGTATTAAATAATTATTCAGAAACCATAGCTTAGCTCATCGATCAGCGAGAATTTGATCTTGTATTAAACAAAAATGGCTACTACATGTTCATGCAGATTGTTGGCCATTATGTTGGCTATACTCTTCTTCTCAGAAGCAAATGGTCAACTAAGCGCTACATTTTACTCCACCACATGCTCTAATGTGTCTGCAATTGTACGTACTGTGCTCCAACAGGCCTTGCAGAATGATCCCCGCATTGGTGCTAGTCTTATTCGCCTTCATTTCCACGATTGCTTCGTCAATGTAACTTCCTAAATTCACATTCCCCATACTACCCCCGTTGCTTATTTAAGTTCAAATTTGAACTTTTACGGTTTTCAACATCGACATTTTTAAATAATTAACGGTCAAAACAAAGTTTGATTTAAAAAGTCAAACTATGAACGTACTTAATTGTGGGATGGAAGGAGTACTACTTTTAATACTTTGTACTACTTGTCTACTTGATGAGAGTCTCGAGTAGTTGTAAATCATCATGAGAGTAAAGCTGAAAATTTGGTTATAGTAATAATTGATTAAGAAATTTACCCGAGTATGACTAAGAGTCTATTTGATAACACTAAAATTGATTGAATCGACTAATGTTGACAAAACTCAGGCTGAAGCGGTTGATCACTGGGCTAAATAGTGAAAAAAATATTTAAAGTATACGGAGTATAAAATAGTTAAAATATTCCCCTTCATCAAAATATTTGAGTGAAGTATGTATTAAACTATGAGTCTATATATATGAATGAACATAAATACACTTTGAACAAGTTGCCCGAAATAGAAGTAAAACAATATAATTAGTATTCTCCTAAATAGAATAAAGTAGTGACATCCTGAAAAATACTGCCATAGTGACAATAGGTACCTTTTTGGCATGCTTAATTTTATTTGGAACAATTTCTTTAATGACTTTCGTATGGTTCGCATGCAGGGATGCGATGGTTCAATTTTATTAGATAACAATGGAACTACCATTGTGAGCGAGAAAGATGCACTTCCAAACACCAATTCCACAAGAGGATTTGATATCGTTGACAACATCAAGTCCGCAATTGAAAGTGCTTGCCCCGGTGTTGTCTCTTGTGCTGATATTTTAGCCCTTGCTTCACAAGCTGCGGTTTCCTTGGTAATTAACTTACTCATTTTTATTTACAACAATTGCTTACTTAATAGGTAAATTGTAGGATACTCATAAGGTATCATACCTTTGTGCACATAGATCAATCAGAATGTTGGAGTTGAATTGTTTAAATATAAATTAAAAATGATATAATGATTTGGACCAATCAAGAATAGTAAATACAGTTACCCATTTTTTAAATGAGTACCTAAGTTGTCACCTAATGATAACACTAATTTATAATAGTTTGGTCAATCTTATCCTTCAAGAGTACCTTTCATGTTATAAATTTCAATAGAGGAAATAGTCAATTGAGTACATCAATTTGTATGAGGTATAGTAAAAAGTACATTATATTGTATTTGACATTTCTAAGTGCATAAACTCGATATTTAAATGTTAATTGAGTACTCTCATTAGATTAACACGTTAATATGGCTTACTTGACTAACGAAATGATGAAAGAGTACTCACCCAAGGGGAATCAATTTTAAGAATCAGATTCAAACACTCATAATGTACTTTTTACTTCACGGCATACAACTTTATGAGCCTTAATCATCAACCAAATAATATACGGTCAAACTCAATAAGCTAGGAATCCTAGGATATATAGTTTTGACTCTAAAGTCAAATTAAACGTGAAACAAAGCTTTTGGATGGATGGAGTACTTAAATTGATGGTACGAAAGCACGTCGTAAGAAGAAGAATGCAGTACTTCCTATCTTTTAGTCATACATCTGATAATTCTAATTGATTTACCTGTTTCGATATCGCTACCTTTTCTCAGTTTTTTGGCTAAGGACTAAGGTTCATCCTCATGGATTTGAAACCCCTCAAGAAAATTATGTGTACCTAATCATTTAATATGTGTATTTTATATATTAGGCTGGCGGTCCTTCATGGAGTGTTTTATTAGGAAGAAGAGACAGCAGAACAGCAAACCAGGCAGGGGCTAACAATAGCATTCCTTCTCCCTTTGAAGGCTTAACCAACATTACTACAAAGTTCTCGAACGTTGGATTAAACGTTAATGATCTTGTGGCATTATCTGGTACAATACTTTCACTAATTTAACTACCAAATAGTACATACACTAACCATATTAACGTTTAAGATAGAACTAACAATACAAAAAAACACGGGATTGCAAGAAATTTTTGCCCGGAATTCACTCAAATTCATAGAAGATTTGGCAGGGACATGCCAAATTCGTGCCAAAACCACATTGGAACGAGTAGGCGAGTTATTTGGCACGAAATTATCGGTCAATCGGCGTCAATCCCGTATTTTTTTTAGTGTAAATTCCAATCCTTTACATTCAATTGTCGTACCACAAAGCATTTTTTAACATACATTCATATGTGACACTCATTAATTAAGTGATCGAATACTTTGTTCAGGTGCTCATACGTTTGGACGCGCACAATGCCGCTTATTTAGCAACCGGTTATACAGTTTCACTAGCTCGGGAAATCCCGACCCGACCCTAAACGCAACGTACTTAGCCACATTACAATCGACTTGTCCACAAAACGGGCCCGGATTCAACGTAGCCAACCTTGACCGGACAACCCAGGATGGTTTTGACAACAATTATTTCTCAAATTTACAGACCAACCAAGGGCTTCTTCAATCAGATCAAGAGCTGTTCTCAACATCCGGGTCGGCAACGGTTGCCCTAGTCAACACTTTCAGTTCAAACCAAACTGCGTTCTTTCAGAGCTTTGTTCAATCAATGATTAATATGGGAAATATCAGCCCGTTGACTGGGTCCAGTGGGGAGATTAGGTCAAACTGTAGGGTACCCAATTGATGAAATTGTTCCCTAGCCACTTGTTTATGCATACTTTGGACGGTTCAAAGTGATAAGGACCCACAAAATAAAGAACTAGTCCAAGATGTGAGCTGAGTATAGTATAGATTGTTCAGTATACCTACACGTTTTTCCTCCTTTTGTGACCCTTTAAAATGTTACTCTTGTTCTTAAGTCAGCGAATAAGTGCTGCTGATGACATTTGAATAAATTGTGATTGTTTTGCTTGATTGATCATTTCTCTTTGTAATAGTCCTTCATTCCATCACTTAAAATCGACCTTCTTGCGGTTGAACTCATGATTAAGGTAAATCCTCACACATACGATTCCAGAAAAAATATTAATTAGTATTGATATTAATATTATACGTAGTATATATATATTGAATACACACATAGGTTATATGTTTGGCAGACACAAGTCCATATCTTCCACCTTTTGTATAATTTTAAAAGTCTTTAAAAGCTTCTAACAGTATGTTTGGCATGTCAATGTTTAAGAGCTTTTATAAAAATAAAAGATCTTTTTTTAGATACTACCGTGAGAAGCATCTCAGATAAGTATGTAGGTTTTAGCATAATTAGTCCCAACAGCTTGTATATTAAGCAGAGCTAAATTAAACAGTCAGTTCTTTATCAAACATCTACTGCTCTTTTCATTTAAAATCTTTTCAATCACTAAAAGCTAACAGTTACTAAAAAGTTCATAAAAGTATCTTTTTAGTTAGTTGTGCCAAACATACATACCCATAATCAATATTTCACGGTCTCAAATATTAACTTTTGACCTATGTAAAAATATGTATTTATAAAAGGGGGAATTTGACTTTGCACCCCACCTTTTGGATCATATTAGACTTTGCACCCCATTTTGAACAAACTCTGATTTTGCACCTCATTCCACTTAAAATTCCTTTGACTTTACACCCCATTTAGAAATTTTTCTTCACAAAATGGTATGTGTTGGGGTGCAAAGTCAAAGTTTTTTTAAAATGGTGTGCAAAGTCCAATATCACCCGAAAAGTGGGGTGCAAAGTCAAATTTCCCCTTTATAAAAGTTATAGTAGACTAACATTTTACTGACAATTTCCCTTATTATTAATCTATATTATTTATTATTATTATTGTTTTTGTTGTTAATTTAAATGTAGTTGTAAATTGTAAGTAATATTATTTAATACTTCAATACGTTACTGTGTAAACCACCAAGTGTAGTTTTACTGCTTTCTCCCTCTCAAAATGATTTGCAAAATCAATTTTTATCAATACAATTTCACATTTTGTACTAATTTAACAAATCAAACTTTTACTATAATTCAATTTGAGCTCTGCGACTTTATAGAACATTCAATGTATTTTCCAAATATGTATATTTTATTTATAAAAATGGTTTAGCTATCCGCGTGTATAATTTAACTTTATTATTGGTCAATCTTAAAAATAAAAGATTTCAATCAATTCAAGACGGTGGAAGTATATACATATCTATTTTTTTATTTAACCTTTGTTATTGTAATAATTGACCCATACATAGTAAAATATTTGACTATATATTATAAACTACCTGTGTGCATAAACTGACCTCCGATGTCTAGGTCCGCCACTCTGAACGTAGTATATAAATCCTACGATTTAAGGAAAGTGCAGTTGATTACCTAAACATAAGTAGGGAGTAGCTAGGGACGTAGTAGTGTAGAACTTAGGGCATCCCGAGGACTATTCTCAAGGAATTCCATTGTGGTAATCTAGTACGGAGTACTTCCTCCATTCTTTTTTAATTGCAACAGTCCACCTTTAACGTTTGTCAATACACTAGTTTGACCATTAATATATTTCATTCCGTATTAGTAAAAAAAACTAAAAAACTTGGATTATGAAAATTTAAAATGAGGAATTTAACAATATTTTTTTAAATTGAATTTATAATACATTAATAAATAAAATAGAGTCAAAGTAGAACACATGAATAGTGTAAAAAGTTCAACGTTGCATTTAAAAGAGAACGGAGGTAGTATATACGTAGTACTATCGTATTATTATAGCATTAAAAAATAATTGAATAGTACCAAAATATATATATACTAACTTTTTACTAATGAAATTCTTTCTAGATTTAACCATTTGCATATTACTATTGGTAGATTACAATTTAAGTATGCAGCAATTCTACTAGAGAATTTTTTTAAAAAATTTTATTCTGATAGAAGTGGCGGAATTAGGGGGGATATTGGGGCCATATTTTTTTAGTAAGATCGAACAAATGTTACAATATTTATACTAAGAGCATCCCTAATGTAATAATGTGCACGGTGCATATATGTAGACTGAGACAAATTGGCACAAAAAAGTCAATATTGTCATTTCTCTGTTTTTCTTTCCATTGTCTATTTATGATAATCGTCCGTGACTCGCCCATTCGGCATATCTCTATTTCAGATTCGGTTAAAATATGCATATTAAGCTAGTATCTTATTTAAAGCTCAACCTTGTTATACTCGAAAATTAAATAGCATACGCATTCATTTATAATTTTATTCAATAAATGTAAACATAAATTTGACACCACTACCTAACCCAACTATTTTTTAGATGTAAGAAGTCCAAATCATAGGAATTTGGATCGATGTACCAACTTCAAACTATATATTAAAACTAGTACTCAAACTCACTCTAATATGAAAAAGCTACCTTCGTATAGTAGTAATTATAATAATTATCTAATTATAAATACTATCTAATCTAACTAAGTCTAACCCTAAACCTAAAAGTTAACTCGAACAGGGAACGAAAGCTGCTCGTCACCAATCAGGATTGTGTACTGACCCGAAGCCAAGAGATTATAACCCTTAATAATTGATGCACAGATTATAACCCTCAATCAGGATTTGGTAACCCTAAATCCATTAGGGTCCGTTTGGTTTGGCATGAAGGCAGGAATGTGATGCACAGAATGTTAGATACCCTTGTTTGGTTCACGGGTTTGAAAAAAAATCAGGAAAGTTACATTCCCAGATTTGTATTATGAATGGGAATCTTAAAACCGTCCATGACTTAGGTTATCTCATATTCCCGGGGTGGTCTAATTTTCTTCCAAAAATACCCTCAATTAATAATCTCTTTTCATTTAATTTGTTTATATATTCAATTGTTATCAAATTTGATTTTTTGTAACTTTAGGGACTTGTCAGGTTCTGCCTCCTTCACTTTTCCTCTTGCAACTGCATTCCGAGCATACTTGGTGTAGAAATCCATCCCCATAGTCCAAATCCAGACCTAATACATTCAATTAAATTTGGTAAGTCAATCAATTATTTATACTTTATTTCTAATAGAGAGCTAGGAAATATATACTCATTACACAAATATCATTTCTTTTTTGTCCGATTTGGTTTTATATGGTTTGTTTAAATTTGATCAGATATTATCTGAGCTGGTTTGATTTGATAGATATTTGTGCTACGCATATTTTACCACTTGTGAAGTCTGATCGTGTTTGTTGATCATTAATAAAATTTACCAATCAATTACAAATATTAGTTAAAGATTTGAGATATATAGGCCTTGTTTGGCAAATGGCTTATCAGCCAATTTTTAGCTTGTTTGACCAATTATGATTATTGACCAGCTAAATTAAGTGTTTGGTAAATGGATGTTTAAAATAGTTGTTTGATCCAAAAAGCTGATTTTGCTAAACGCTACGGGTAGCAGCGTTTTCTCTCGGCTCACCTTTTCAATTTTCTTTTGTTTTGGTTCTATCGCTACAATTACATTACGTGTAAATTTCTTTGGTAAATGAGTTGGGTCTCATTTGTTTTTTCTATGTTATCAGGTATCAACCACGAAGTGGTCTTTGGGATTGTTATTAATTATGCTCAAGGAATATTTATATTAATAACAAATATTTATATTAATATTTATGTTAATAACGAATACTACTTTTTATTAGTTATGCCCTCTATCGTGAAGTAACAATACTTATAACATATTCATTATTGATAATAATAATAAAATAAAATAAATATTCATGTATTTATTTTCTTTTCATACTCTATCAGCCATTTTGGAACATCCAGTTCTATCAAACAATTATATTTAATCAGCTAACGCAATCAGCCGGTCAAAACAGCTAACACAACAAGCTGTTAAGAAACCGCTGACACAACCAACTAACAGCAACAGCTAACAGCCAATTACCAAACAAGACCATAATTTGAGAAAAATCAACTTTTTTGAGTAATATCGAAGTCAAACTATGTTGATTGGCACACTAAATGAAGTGCTCTGTGATGAAAACGGTTAGCAACACAAGAGGGGGGGGGTGAATTGTGTGTGTGTGGAACCGTGGCAGTTTTTCGCCCAGTTCTAGTGCGGGGTAAAGGGAATTGCGAAAAGTAAAGTGCACAAGGATTTAACGAGGAAAAATCTCTTGGCTCAAAGGGATTAAAAAACCTCGACCTCCCTCGGAGGAATTTTAAACAACTTCACTAAACAAGCCTTTGAAAGAGTTACAAGAGTGATTCTCCTAATCTACCCTTGAGCCTCCCCAACTCTATCCTCTCGAGGAAGAGTTATGCATCTCTACCTTGCGGGTAGAGAGCCTCTCAGTTTTATCACAAAGCTCTCACACACACTTAACCCAAGGCAGCTACTCTAGCCAATTAAGCCTCAATATTCCAAGTACAATATGCAAGGGAAAAGAGAAACTCTATCTAGAACTCCGAGCGGGCAGTTTCAGGCGCCAAGGACTTGATCTTTTCTTGAATGATTCTTCTAAGTATTTTTTCTTCTGTTTTTCCACACGAGTATGATCTTCAGTCTCGTATATATATAGCTTCCTGGTTTGACAACCGTTGGTCTTCTTTCCTTGTCTTGCCTTGAACCACTCAAATTGTTTTCCTTGTATAGATGATCCTTGCCTTGATGTATTTTGAATATCTTTCCTTCCAAATTCGAGCTTGATATTCATAAGCAGTCATTTACTAAGGCAATCAATCACGTACAAAGTATATATTCCTTAGTCCAATCTCGTGAGGTTAATTAGTGATGGGGATATTCCAAATAAGTAGGCATCGGTCAACAATATAGAAAACAAGGAAATTATTATTAACGAATCAAGGAACAATCGGTCCTAATATGATTTCCTTTTAAAGTAACTTT